GACCTGAGGAATTCAATACTTCAAGATCTCCTAAAGGTAAAAATGCATCATATTTGTCCACAGACACTATCTGAATTGACCCGCACCATTTGCAAAGTTCATGCAGGCCGCATCATCTGGTGGGAAATAGAACAAAATAGCTATTTGTTAAGTCCTCCAGCAGCACTTTGATTTTGTTTATATATATACATCCTCAAGCTTCTCCGCCCAGTTATAATTCTTGATATATTGAAACTGGCCCATTTAGCCGGCAACCATTTACTATTTACCAGTCTCTAATTTCGCCATGACCATCGCCCAACATAATCCACAGACGAAACTTTCGCGAGGTTTTCAAAAACCGATCAGTGATTTGTTTTTAGTGGTTCAAAATTCAGTTTGTCCACTCTTTGTAAATAGCCTTTGTAAACAGTCTTTTACCAGTTGGGATTTTTCATTAACAAGTCTTTGTTCAATTGGCCAATCCTCCTATGGTGACACTGAAATAAGGAAAAAAAAAAAAAAACCCATTACCTCTATAAGACGCACGCGAAAGGAATCATGGTAGTTGTCTTCAACACACGGGCGATACCTTCGAGACATTGCATACAGCTACCAGGATTCCCTGCGCGCGGGTCTCAGAGGGAATGAGGTATTTCATGAGATTATCAAGGTAAGAGAGTGAATCCCCCATATAGGTCCTCTAACGAAGGTAATCCCTCTTAAGTTAGTTTTAGACATGGTACCCAGTTCTTCCGAGAATACTATTCGCGCGATGCGTGGACAGCGGAAGCGACTTTCTCGAAACTACCTGAGACGAAATGGCGGGAACGTCATTTTATATGTTTTGATTTCGTTTCAGAGCACAGATGTTTTCTGCACTCTCAGTCGTTTTTTTTGTTCGGTCGGGCTTTCGTTTGGTTTGTGCTCGTTTGGCTGTTTATTCGGTTTTAGGGAGTTTAATTAAGCAAACTTCAACGGCAACGGCAACGAGTACAATGGCTGTGTAAGTGTGCGTTATTTAAGCAATAGACCACAAGTTTTTATGGTTTATAGGCTGATAAACCACGCGGGATGTTGGAAGAA